TATCTTTTTGAGATCTCCATGGTGAAAACTCTCTATTAGAAATGTTCTAACATTAAAATCTATATGATTTCTATAACTGCTTCCACATGATTATATTGGATTAGTGCTTTTAAATGAATATCTCAATTTCGGAATACATAGTCATAATATATATATATATATATATATATGTATATATATATATAGTATTCTGTTTCTTAAAAACCTATGTTGAAAACCTTGTACTGTGATTTTCTAAAGTTTTAGATATGTGCCTATCGATATTATTTCAAGAAACATCTTCCAAAAAGAAAACAGCTCTAATTATTATTAAATTAAGTTTGACAAACAATACCAGTTCTTGAATAATGTATTGACAAAGGGAATATCTTGAATAGAATATGCATAATTTCCCTTTCCCAGTGGATCAAGTTGTCCGGCAATCAAGTGCCTGTGTGGTAATGCTTTGGCTAAGTATTCTTTGGAAGGGCATTCCTATTTTATACTTTTGCTCCAAAATTCATTTATAGTCTCTTAAATCGTGCACAATTCAATTTCTAAATAATCATGATCTACTTAATACGTATAGAAGCATAAATGAAAAGAAAAATATGACAAAAATATTTTTTTTAAAATTAATAAACCAATATAGCTATAAAATGCATGAGTTAAATAAAGTAAATCAATCAACAAAATTACCACACTGATCTATTTTATAAAATACCTAATTACATGGTTATGAAAAAATCACCCATCTATACTATTAAAACAGAAGGCCCTTTTTCAGGTACCCTTCTGTTTCAACAATATTTACAGAATAATGCCACTGCATAATTTTTTAAGCTATGCTTTGTATTAAAGCAGTTTTACCCGATGCAAGTGGGTTTGACCCGATAGAATATTCTAAAACAATACTTTTTATTTAATTCTATTTTCTGTTTTTCTTTTATTTATGCAGCAAAAATCACACATTTAATTAATATAACCCTTTTCATTTATTTATATATGCTTTCGAGATAATATTGCCTATATATTTGCATGATATAACACATATATATTTGTCATGTACGTTTTGAATCAAACACATCTTTCCATCCATATAACGAAATAAATGTGCATACGATTATATAAATTAATGTACATACAAACATTACTATCTCATTAAAATGATGAATCGACGTATATGTTTAGTAATACATAATTACGAGTAATCCTCTGCATATTTTGTTTTATTTATGCTTATTCTTTAGAATATATCGATTGTAGCATTTCGAATAAATTTTTTCTACGATTATGATATCGCAACCGATTCCGAACCATAACGAATTTAACAAATTTGTTTTGTAAGTCGAAATTTTTTTCTTAAATAAAAAAATATCCTTCTTAGCATAAAATTCTGTTTGTGCAATCTTAACTAAAGTTGTAATCTATTCATAGAATAATCAAATCAATAATTATATATATATATATATAATTAAATAAATAAAAACTAAACTTTACTCAAATAAACTAAAATCTCGGTAAGTTGTTAAATTAAAAAACAAATATAGTAGATCGTAAATAGGTGAGCAATCTAAGTATTATCATATATTTAAAATATCAGTAACAACCAATCATAACATAAAAATCGCAGCATTTAATAACTTAAATCTATATAATTAAAACAATAAAATCTAATCTACCATATTTTGAATAAACTTGATCCGCAAGATCACAAAACACACGGCTAATTTTAACACATACAGTTTATAATGAATTTAGATTTTAACGCATAGAGTTTATAATGATTTAACAAATTCCATTAACACACATTAACTGAATTTCAAGGTTTTAAATGTAATTTAGCAGATCAAACTGGTATTCATTAGAAATATATTATTCTTATCTACACCTAACTACTAACGTGAATCTCTAACAAATCTATTGTTGTTACCATATATTCTAAAATAAATACTTAACAATAATATCTTAGTATTTAACTTAGTTTCAAAAGGTAATAAACTTTAACACCGTAAATTGTGTTGCAAGCTAAACAAAATATCATCTTCAACTCATTATATAAAGGTATTCTCATTTCAATAATCGACACATCCGCTTTTCGTTTTCATAGCTTTTTTGTTCTTTTTCAACAAATTATAGTTCTAATTTAAACGTCATGCTTGTGATTTTATACAGGTCTAACAGAGACTGGGATGATGGCTACAATCAAAAGAGATTCGTGACTTATATGTGAATTTTTTCGTGTTAGTTATTTGTTTGCCTAATTGTTTGCTTAATTTAATTGTGTTATCATGTTAATTTAAATTTCATGTTTGATGGTAACCACATTGACATAGTGATGTGTGTCCGTCCAGATAACATGAATCGAAGGAGGTTATAGCTCATACAAGAAATAAAACGTTTAAAGAATGGAAGCGATGTAATTGATCACCTCGATAACTTTCATGTAACTTCAATTTTTTTCCAGAATTCATGGTGTCTTTTGGTATATTGTTTTCTCACTTCAATTTGTGCTTTGTGATCTCACATGTTTATCTGGATCAAACCAAGGAACAGATATGGCCGAAAATAGGTGCAGTTTTCATCAGAGTTTTGATGTTTCTTATCTTTTTGCATCGAGTTTTATCAACATCGAGGTTTATTATAGCTAACTATAATTTTTTTTCATAAGCTATAATTTCTTTATTTTATTTCAGCTTTAGGTATGTATTTTGATCTCAATTATGATCTGGAAAAAATAATATTTTGGACATTTATAATTGCATCTTTTTCGCTAACAATAATGT